GAAGCCACAGGCCGAGGAAGAGACTCTGAGTTGAGTAGGTCTACCTTCTCAGATTGCTCTGTTTTTGGCAGAGGACCGTTGTTCCTTGAGGCGCCCGCTGGGACCGGTTGCATAGGTTTGCCGTCGGCCTTTGTACTTGACTTGCCAGCGGCTTGAGAGGTTTTAGTAACACGGCCGAACGAGGCGATTTTCTTGACCGGGACGGCGGGGGTGCCACGCTTTTTCGAGGCAGCGGTTGTTGCAGCCTTTTTGGGACGAGGATTGGGGGCGGGCTTGGTGATAAACTTAGAGGTAGGCTTGCCAGAAGCAGGCTTTTCTTTCTTGATAATGTCTTTGATGGATCGGCCATTACTTGCTGGGTTTTCGAGCTTGATTTTCGTAGCCTTGGTGGCCGGCCTTTTCATGGGCTTCTCATCATGACTGGAAGAAGGTGTGGCAAGACCAGTTTCTGCGCGAGGTCTCTTTTTCGGCGTGACCACGACGGAAACGTCCCCGGAATTGAAGCTAGGAAGAATGGGTTCGGGCGAGGATTCGTACACGCACGGGGTAGTGTCTTTGGACTCCCATGATTTCAAGTTCACCTGATGTGCAACTTCATCGCATGACCCCTTGATGATCAAATCAAAGCAGTTGTCGAATTCTTTGCCACTTGGCGGTTCATTGTTAATGAACATCGTCACACCATCCTTCCGACTGCGGATCATTGTGCACAAGCTCTTGACGAGCCGTCGGACCCCGGGAATCTTCAAGCTGGTACCGGCGACCATTAGGACACGGGGGCGGGACTTGATATCGGCATTCATCACGGAGGTGATTGCCTCTTCGTCGGGGTTGTGCTCGTTATAGAGCACGATGCGCGGGCGCATGCGGCCGATACCGTGACTCCGTTGGCCGACGATTTGGCGAGCGTTGTCATTATCAGTGCATTCGGTGCAAGCGGGCGGGTCGGCTTGCATGAACATATCGGGTTTGAATTTGTCGAGGTAGCGACACTTCTGGCATACCATCTTCTCAATACTGCCGTGCAGTTGAATAGTGATCGGCCAACTACCCTTGACGTTAAGCGGGACCTCAGTCGCCAGTGGTCCCATAGAGGTCTCAATGCCATCGATATTTTGGGTGTAAAGTCGCTTCAAGCGAGACTCGATACCTAGTCGGGCGAGCATTTGGTGGAAGGCGGTGGGTTTGATATTGGCGACCTCCTCCGACAGCGACCGGACCATTTCGTGGAAGGGCGCTGTCAATGCGTCATCCTGATAGACGGCAGCATCGAATAGAAGCTTTCCGGAAGCTTTCAGGTTGTGCTTCTTTTGCAATGATTTGAAGAGACCATCTGCGGAGCGGAAGTCCGGAACTATGTGCAGAGTTAAGAGCTGGGTTCGAATATGGCAGAATCCAAAAGCAGAAACTTACTACCCGCAGCCGTGGAAATGCCAGCGCCAGCGATGACGACGATGTCTTTTTGATGACGCAGAGTTTGAACGAGCAAATTGTGTTGCTCATTTTGTTCATAGAGAGATTTGGATAGATCGAGATACTGAGTAGTCCGTTCCTTTGGTAGGGGGTTGCGTCTCCTCTTTGCGGGACGGGCTTGGCGTGCAGAACCCTCAGCAGACTCAGCTCCCTCTTGGGATGAAGGCGTTGGGTACCGCTCAGCTGGCTCTGGTGACGACCGCGGTGCTAATGTTGGCGATGGGGGCACGGAGCTCAACTCCGAATCGGATGAGAAATCTAAATTGAAATCCCCCATGGCTGCGTGGGAGTTGCGAAAGGGCTGAAAGGTATCTGCGCAGAGAATGTTCACCCCCAGGGGAAATTGGGGCGAAAAGAACCGGGTGGTATCTCCAAGCTGCTCACAGACCGTAGAAAACCTCGAAAAGAGAAATCATGTGCCTGGGGAATAAAGATCAATAAAGATCAATGAGGTATAATACCTTGAGATAGATGGGAGAAAGGGTAGAAAAGAGTAGGAGTAGTTGTAGGTAGAAAGTTGGAGGAAGTTGACGATGAGGTCAGCGTTTGGGGGGGGGAGGGCATTAATGAACTCGTGCACTTCAGGGCTCTATGGGCCGGAGAAAAAAAGAATAAAAAAGGGCGGCCCACAGAGGAAAAACAGTCTTTTGTTTTGACCGAAGGTATGGATTTCCGTAGGAATGTGGTTGAGGAAGTAGATTGATTTGAGCCGAACGACTAGGAAGGGCCGGCCTCGAGGTTGTTTTGATGCGAACGGTTGTGGGTTTAAGACTACGCCTATACTTCGGAATAAAGAGGGAAATAGTCCAGGAATAGCTTCTTTAATACTGTTGAAACCCCCATTGATTGCACTTTGTAGGGGGTTTACAATGGTCAATTGACCTTTCACACTTTAATAGGCCCTTGATAACTCCGTATTGTACTCTCCCTATTATTCTCTTAAATTTTTCCCTGTTTTCCTTCCTATTTTTCTTTCTGGCTTCTTTTGTTGCTATTTCCCATGTTTTGACAGTTCAAGGGCTCAGTGGTGATTCGCTCAGCTGAATAGTGGGTCACCTGATATTCTTCTGATTGGCCAGTTGCCGTTGGCAGGACTACCCGTCACCTGATCCATGTCACGAGGCCTGACTAAGCATTCGGGAAATCCACTGGTCCCTGGAGGTCCAGGCGCTGACGGCATAAGAACAGCTGGATTTGGTCTATGGTCCCCCTCATATTGAAATCTGGAATTGCTGCATTGACTGTGATATCGCTTTTGGTGTTTGTGAGATTGCCTCGAACATTAGGCGCTGATTTCGGGAATCCTCTCCCCCCTTGTTGAATAATAATAAAGCCCATCTGATATTCAATGGTCCGGGGAACTCTATGAAGCCATGCTGCTATATTGATACTCTGATCGAACACACTTGACAAGTAATCCGACAAATATTATGCCCTTGATCATGGAGGACGGTATCAATGTGGATGATCTCTTTGGAGAACCCAACTCCCTGGAGCTGGGCTTGCCGGCCGCCTCTCCAATCAAAGGTCTAGCACAATGCCTAGATGAAATGCGTCTATTAGGGTGCTGCCAGTAAGCTTGAAAGAATGCTTCAGATCGCATTCCAGGGACTAACCGTCTTATAGGAAAATCGTCTGGTCTCGGATGGGATGTATTGCATCTATTTCTCCAGACGGACTACGGGTTATTGTCCGCTATCTCCAGTGCCGTCCATCAGATGGCAAATGGGTACTCGGGGAAGAGACGTCATTGGCTCCAGTCTATGAAGCGCATAATGGCAATCAACTGGCCCATCTATCATGGAATGAGACAGGCTCAGAACTGGCCGTTGTCGATTGTTCTGGTCGCATATCAATCTATTCCATATCCATTGCTTTGAACAGCATCACAGGTCTGCGTCAAGCCTCATTTGATTCTGGCGACGATGGCAACCAGGTTGTTGGAATGATGTGGCTGAACTCCCAGCGTTATGTACGTTGAGTCCCCTTACCATTATCCATCAAGATAGATCAAGATAGATCAAGTTATGGGTGAAAGGACTCTAACATTGCAATAGGTTCATGCCTTTCACCAAGCAGCCAAGGTGAACGGTCGATGGGCATACTCGCCTTTCCGTCGACGCTCCATCGGGCCGTCCCACCCAGCCAACAAAGGCGCATTGATATGTATCACCAGAGCCGGCCAGATCAAGCTGATATACCAAAACCCTGACAGCAAATGGGCCGAGCTGCCAGCCGAACTGAAGAACACAGGGTACTCGGACAGACTATTAACGCATGCATCCATGACCGCAACACATGGTAATTGTCTTTCAGTCGGAGCTTCTATTTCCTGCCGTCACTGACATATTAAACAGCTGGGATCCTTCTCTCCACCTACTCTGCATGCCAGAAAATGTGTCTTTATAGAGTAGAGATCAGCTGGAACCCGTCACAATGGGAGCCGACACCGGGAAAACCGCCTGGCCAATTCCCTATCCCCACCTTCCGTTTAATCCACTGTAAGGTCGACATGCCCAGCAATATATTGAACGTCAACCGGGGCCCGGAGCACTCTGATCAGTCTTTGCCGTTTTTGAACTCGGTATACTCGTTGACACGATTAGAGATCATGCCGGGGCAGTTTGATAGCCTCGCGGGGTCTACCGCTAGTCCTTGGATCATGGCTGTCTTATCGAAGCCTCTCCATGCCATACATGACTATCCGGAGCAGCAAGGTCCGCCGAGTGTGATTGTGAGGTGGCATTTGGAACCTGCACCGCAGATACTCCATCCCAAGTTTGACGAGGTGCCGTCAAAAAAAAGCAACGCTGAAGCAAAGGTGCGAATCCCTCAGGCCTTGCCTGTCGCGTGACATTGAGACTGACCTATCCTCAGCCCAAAATGGAACTACGCAGGTTGGAGGACATTTATTGTGATAAGTATATTGTCTCAGTCGATTTAGTAGAGCACGGGGCAGTGTTGGCTGTCAGTCATGACGACAGCTCAATAACATGCTATGACACACGAACAATGACCGTTTTGAACGGTCTTAGCGATTCAAGCACAGTGACCTGTCTGGCCCAGGCTGGGTTCCAGTACCCACTTGAAACATCAGGTATGTCCGGAACTGAGCGATCTTGCTTTCAGACGCATGGCTAGAACTCACATGGACAGGCCTTCACATTGCTTTTTCTCCTAGCGCTTGCGTTGCCGTTACGCTGGATGTTGACGGACACGTGCAATTGAGGGTGATGGAGCATTCGTTCGGATCCGCAGATGGTCTCTATGACGAGAGTACGTGTTTTCCAGGTCACATGTCAGGTCACCTATGTGAAATAATAATACTGACCCAGGCATGTAGACAATTTTTCTGCGGCCATTGCAGCCTTGACACTGGCATTCAGTCGAGGGTGTGGAGTCGAAGTTAACACAGATGACATACTCATGGTTGCTCGCGGGCAGCTATCACCAGGTGAGTGCTCTGAAGACCTTCCTATTGTTATCATCAAGACTGCTGACAACATCGAAAGAGGCTCAAGTCACATTCATCAGCGAGGTGTATCGTGCACTGCCGGTTAATTGCAATTTCACAGCCGAACAGGACAAACTCATGAGCCATCCATACATACCTCGTTGTCTCAGCTTACAGGCCGGACTGGGCTTTAAAGGGAGACTCAAGCGCCGCAACCTCTCATCGGCCGTGCCTTGGGCAAGCCTTCAACTCAGACATGCCTCTGTTCTATTTGCATATTTCTTCCAGTATAATAAAGGGGGACAGACTGAATCGCATGATCCAGGTGAGTTCAAACAAAGCCAATTCAGTTATCGTGATCCGTTGCTAATTGAGAAAAAAGATGTTCTACGCATGGTATTGGGTAACACCAAATGGACATTAGACTTCTCTCACTTCCTTCTGAACGGAATCTTCGACATGGCTGACGAATTCGAAGACGTCTTCAATGACTCAGAAGCATTCACACAGAAATGTAAGGAACCTCCCCATAACAAACTTCAGCTTCAAGCTCACCCATCTCACTATCTTCGCAGTGAAAAACTCCTCCTCTCTCCCCCTCCTAATCCTCCTAGCAAGCATGTCGCGCGCCTTCCTCCGCTTCATCTGCCGCGGCCTCCGCGGCGTGCATGCTGGCTTCGCAAGCGCAAACCCCGCCTCCCTTGTAGGCGACTCCCGAATTTACTACACGGAGATCTGCCAAACACTAGAATCATCACCTGTACGAATCGACGTGTACGAGAAGTTCCTGGCAGGAGTCGACTCAGCCGTGAAGCACGCCTACCAAGGCGCTGGCTTCGGCGACGCCGAGAGACCCGGCCCGGAAAAGGAATTGCTGGTTAATGCACGCATTCCGCCAGTCCTCACCACAGCCGTGGCCACCCTGCTCAGGCAGACAGTCCCGGCACTCAAATCCGAAATCAACCGCATGGCGATCTACCTCGGGGACTATAGCTGGCTTGGTTTTGGGAATGACCGACGAACGGCGCTGTATCGTAGCCAGCGTGAGGTCGATATCCTCAAGAAGTGTCCGCTGCGCCCGCCGTTGCCGTTGGGGAATGATGGTCGCGTGGCGCTGCTGAAGAAGCGTAGGTGTGTGCGCTGCACCGAGGTCTCTGGTGATACGAATCTGCCCCGGTCGCTTCTGTCGTTCAAGATGATTGCTAAGCTGGGGCTGTTGCGGTCTTGTCTTTGCGGGGGTATGTGGGTTCTTGAGACGGATACTGGGGATCTTGGGGTTAGGACTGCGAGTACGAATGGCAATGGCAATAGGGTTAGCCAGACTTAAGATATCAATAAACGGCTGAAATTGGATACTATGGCTCGAATTTTTGGCTTCGATCCAGGTGGTGTGGGGTTGGCTGATCTACACATGTGGGATCGAAAATATGTTTCGGGCTTTTTCTCTACTCTATCCTTGTGGGGTGTTACATATTGGGATGTCCTGCATCTAGATTCGTTTGGTCGCCGTGTCAAGATACATATCCTTAGTCTGACATTTTTGCTTTGTACTCGAGATACATATATTGTAGAAATATATATCAACGAGTCCTGGCAGACGGTAGAATACACGTACGTATGATACACCGTGAGATATCTTCGCTAGAGAGCAAGAGCAAGGATCCTTGGAGAACGTCTAAAATCATGTCATGTCAAGAGTCGATTTGCATCCTATTTAGATACATAATCAATTTCCATTTTTTGGATGTAAAAAAAAAGAGAAAACCGACCCCTCCACAAGCTTTCGGATCCATCTGTCACGTCCTGCTCATGTCCAAGGCCAGCAACGTCTTCCCACAAAACTCCATATTCGAACAAGTTCTGCGTTTAAGCCTACAACAAACAAATCGTCAGCATCATGTTCGGCTGGTCCATTCCGTCTCATGGGTGAGGTCCTTGGTGGCGAGGGCAAAGATGAACATCGATGAACCCTCATATTCCACCTGTTCCCCACCCAGGATGTGTCGGATTATCATACCTTAACGGCGTACTTCCGCTGGGGGAAGTGGATGGCACGCTTGCGGAGCTTGTCGGTGGTCTGGGTACGCTCGTGCTTGGTGAGACGGCGGCGGATCTCACGGGTGAGCTTGGGGCGGAGGTCGAGCGGGAGGTACTTCTTGTTCTTGTAGAACAGACGCAGCTGAGCGCGCTGGTTGAGGTTGATGACGGTGAGAACACGAGCGATCGACTTGCGAACCTCGCCGCTAAAAAATTTTTCCAGTCAGCATCAAATCTCGAATATCGATGACTCCAGTATCGTGCGCTTTGTGCCAGATCGTATGACCCATATCTTCCTCCTCGATCGTTCGGTTGAATGCTGGCGTAGTCCCTCCTCTTATATGTTGTCTCGCCCGGGTCCAATCATTCCCATCCCGCAAATCTTCAAATTCCATCCGCACGAAAAATCAAAATCGAGGTGTATCGAATACGCACATTCTCTGAGTCTTGGAGGAAGCGCCGGAAGCGATCTTCTGAACGCGGAGCTGGTTAAGCTCCAACTTCAACTCCTCGAGCTGTGTGGCGAGCTCTTCCTTGCTCTTGCCCCAGAGCTGACCAGCCTTGACCTTGGACGACTGCAAAAAAAGAGCGATTCATCAGCATTTTGATATCAGAGCCTTTGCACAGTATGACATACCATGGTGGCGTTGAATTGTGTGGGTTGTCGACGTTGAGAATTGAAGATGTCCGAGGGTCAATTTGCGACTGGTTGTGGGACTAGGGCTAAGCGAACTTGTGAATTTAGCGGGTGCACGTGATTATGGTGGCACTAATGCCTTAATTTGGCGCCTGAAGTTTCTGGCCTGTTAATGCCTGAGCCCTGGGTCACAAACTTACTGTATTTGGTTAGCGTATTTTACCCCGTCATGGGTTGGCACTTACGTAGACAAGCAGGTAGCACCTCGGCCCTTGCACTGGTTGACTTTTTGGTCTGAACAGAGCTCCTAAACAGATCAGACTTCACTGGTGATTCCATCCTCACATTCTACATATTTCTGCCTGCCATGGCATCCTCAACAAGTTCCGGGTGGACGCAGCTCCGGCAACAAGCACGATCGCTTGAAACTCAGGTACCAATATCTCCTCACTAGAAGTTCTATACCAATGTTAACTGGAACTTATAGACAGAGAATCTCTTCCACACCTATTCACAGTTTGCCTCGATTACTAAACCTCCACCATCACCTACCGAGGAAGAGCTGCGGCTTGAATCGCAATTGAAAGACCTCCTCGAAAGAGTATGTCCATCCACCAACATCCAACAGGAAAAAAAAGCACCAGCAGCTAATTGACCTCGTACAGCGCGAGTCTGTCATCGCCCAACTATCCCGTCTCCTCGACTCCGAAGCCACCCTCACCTCCTCCGCCCTAAAACAGAGCAATGTCTCCCGCCACCGCGAAGTACTGCAAGACCACCGCCGCGAGCTCCAACGTCTGACCGCAGCTATTTCTGAATCCCGTGACCGCGCAAACCTACTCTCTAATGTCCGCTCAGACATCAGCTCCTATCGCGCATCCAACCCTGCCGCCGCCGAGGCCGAGTACATGCTCGAAGAGCGGGGCCGAGTCGAGAACAGCCACAACATGATGGACGGCGTGCTGAGCCAGGCGTATGCCATCAATGAGAACTTCGGTGTCCAGAGCGAGACAATTGCCAACATTAATCGGCGCATTGTCGGCGCTGCTGCAAATGTCCCCGGCATGAACTATCTCATCGGCAAGATTGGAAACAAGAAGAGGCGGGATGCTATTATTCTCGGGTGCTTCATTGGGTTCTGCTTTTTGATGTTGCTGTTCTTCCGGTAAAGTATAAATCGAGGCTCCAGCGGTAGGTCAGTCATACCGCCGCCTCTTATGTCTTATTGTTCTTGTGCCGATTGCTGCTCTCCAGCGAGTGGATTTGTCTTGTCAGAGGCGTTTGGGTTTGGGCATGTTCTGAGTCGCCCTTGATGGGGGATGCGACAGAATCGGTGGTAATTCTCGTGAAGGGTCTTGAAGGCGCCTATTTGTTATACTTCTATTATACAGTTTCTCTATTGTATGTACAAATTCAACCGAGAGCGGAATAAAATCGCATCCAAGACTCCAGTTCGGGTGATCATTCTCACATCAGCCTCAATCAATACCTGCGAGACGGGTCCTGCACTCGGAGGACAGCCTTCTTCTCCTCAATAAGCTTCCGTACACCAGCATTAAGTCCCTCCAACTCAGACTTTTCAGCCGGTCCACTCCCCGCCCAGCGAATGCGACACTCCGAATCAACCAGGTAGACATAGCCGACCTTGGAATTCATCATGCCAACGGTCTCCTTGAGTGCCTGGTCGAAACCCTTCTGGACGAGGAAGTAGCGCGAATGCTGCTCCTTGGCCAATTTCTGCCGCATCCGCCACATGAATGTCTTCACCAGAAACGCCTTTAACCGGTTCTCCTCGAGATTGATATCAATTCTCTGCACCAGTCTTCCACCGCTGGCCATCGCCTCTAGAAGTCCTGGATTCTGCTCCGGCCCTGTAAATGTCGCAACCTGGCTCTCGGCCCACACGCTTGAGAACAAGTTTACGACGGAAATGCTGCCGCGCAGCTGGGTTGTCGTGTTCTGGGGATCCTTGGGTGATGCCAGCGTTACGCCGTGCATGTTCGGGAAGTAAAGGGCTCTGTCGGCTTTGAACAGCCGCGGATTCGAGACAAAGGTCTTGCCCTCTGCGAAGCGGAGATTGGACCATTCGCGGAAATATGGCTTTGCGACTTGTTTTGTCCTGTGGGTTGCCATTGTTTATTAGCACTACTATTGCCAGCTTTGGGCTCTATTCAGAGTAAAGAACAGGAAGAGGAAGAGGCCAGCTCGTACAATTCCTTGCGCCGCTTGATGTGCCGGTCATAGTTGGTGAAGTCGTCGCGCCGCTGGCGCATCGACCGCGTGTCAATGCCTGTATTCTGTCCTTCTAATGGCGCTTGTGGGCTACCGATGGGCCGGTCCAGGCTTGGAGGAACGAAGTCTGCATCGCCGGGCTGAGGTCCATCCTGGGGCTGGTTTTGTTTGAATTCGATGGCAGTCGATAGGCGGTGCGCCTCGTTTCTTATGTTTCGTTTCACGGGTGCGGCCTCTTTCGTCTCGATAGGTTTCACGGGCTTGCTAGAATATTGGCGCAGAGAAAAGGGTTTAGTCCGTAGCTGGGAGAGTTTTGCTGGGTTGCGAAATTGGCAGCTTAGACAGCGGCCAGTCTGCAGGAGGGGGAGGTCGGCCACCAAGGTGGGGAGGGCGGATTTCCACATATTGGCTGACGGTCTATCAGTCAATGTGCTGAGTAGTGGATTTCGAGGTTATTGCTCTTGTTTGCGCATTTGATCTTCCATGGAAATGAAGAGTCACATGATATGGTATTTCTAATTTGGGAATAGATGTCGATGCTAGTTCTATCCTTATTGGGAACAATATAAAGTCGCATATGCCTATGCCGTAGAACAATAATACGTAAATAGAATACTACCTAGCTATCTTGCGATCCTCAAGCCCGGATTAGATATTCCTTTCTATAGGTCACCTATTGAGTAAAAATCTTTAGACTAGATCACGTGATTTGGCGCCCATTTCGCGCCAGGCAATCGCGTCTGGCGTCCACGGGTCATCCAAAGTGGCCCAAGGAAGTTTTCGGACCATTCCCTTTCCTTTTCCCTCTTATACGAGTCATCCATGAATGTACCACGGTGACTCCAGGCACCTATATAATGACCCGTCTCTGGCCCAGACACCCGTCCCTCCATTGGAAACCGGACTAGCCTACTATGAAGGACCGATTTCCGACTAAAAAGAGCTTTTTTGCGGCTCTTGACCGGCTGGATGAAGAGGATAATCAAGATGAAGAGGATAAGAACTGGGGCAGTCTCCTAACTTTTACAGACAAAGAACCTGACAAACCCAATCCAAATAAAGTCGCTCTTTCCTCGGATCGTAACCCACTTTCTCGAGCAAATTCGGACCCTATATCTTCGTGTGACCTTCAAGGCAAGAGTCTGGTCACTGTCCCCAAACCTGCTCCTGCGAACCGCCCTCGGACGACTGGAACTATACCTACCATGAAGAGCAGAGGGCCGCCTCAAAAGAAAAAAAAGACCAATAATGCTAAGATAATCCCAGAAGACCAGCAGATCTTCAAGGGACTGATCTTCTGTAAGTAATATTCTAGATTTCTACAGCCTACTCTCACTAAACTCTTATTCCAGTTTTCTTCCCAAACAATGACATATCTCCATTCCGACGATTGCGCATTCAACGAGCGCAAGATTACGGTG